CCAGGACAGAAGCACTTTCCCTGGACTCGTAAACACTCAGAGCCCCTCTCCAGTCCGGCTCTGATCTCGACTCTGGTCCGGACCCAGGTCTAAGGACTCGCCTCTCGGTGTTTACAGTACAGCTGGGGGCTTCCTACGTGTATTTCTCCGGCGGAATGTGTCTGCAGTTACCATGGTGACACGATGCAAAAGGACAAGGAGCTCAGCCAAAAAAAAGTGTTAAGATCATCCAAAAACTCAAGAAAAAAACTAAATGGATTGAAACTGCAAATTTTCAGGTGCCTGTGATGGATACGAGTTCATGGTCCAGTTTAGGAGTTTGATTTTCAACAAAAAACTGTTGAGAGGGACATTAATCCATGTATCGTTCGTTCATTCATTTTTCAAAATAAAACCAAAAATAACAAAATGAAAAAACAACAATTTTCTTCATTATTTGTCTCCAAAACCCATTTCCGTTGCTTAAACTGCAGTGGTGGACTTTTGCGCCACATATGGACTGAACCAGGACTAAACCAGGTCTAAACCAAATCTAAACCAGAACTGAACTAGGACTAAACCACATCTAAATTAGGACTAACCCGGTCTCAGTCCTGGTCTGAGTCGCGGTCTCAGTCCCGATCTGTTTCTAGTCTCAGTTCCGGTCTGGTCCTGATATGGTCCTGGTCTCAGTCCTGGTCTGGTTCCGGTCTCAGTCCCGGCCTGGTCTCGATCTCAGTCTCAATCTGGTCCTGGTCTCAGTCCTGGTCTGATCCAGGTCTCTGTCCCAGTCTGGTCCTAGTCTCAGTCCCGATCTGGTCCTGGTCTCAGTCCCGGTCTGGTCCCAGTCTCAGTCCTGGTCTGGTCCCGGTCTCAGTCCTGGTCTCAGGCCCGGTCTGGTCCTAGTCAGGTCCCGGTCTCAGTCCTGGTCTGGTCCCGGTCTCAGTCTCAGCCTTAATCATGGTCTGGACCTGGTCCAGACTGAGACCATGACCAGACCATGACCAGACTGGGACCAGACCGGTTCAGTCCAGGTTCAGTCCTGGTTCAGTCCTGGTTCAGTCCTGGTTCAGTCCTGGTTCAGTCCGTATGCGGCAACGCAGTTTAAGTCACGGAAACGAGAAACGGTCGTTATCTGTTTTTTCCATTTTTCATTTAAAGAAAAAATTTAAAAAACTAATCATTATCTGTTTTTTCATTTTGGTTTTGGAGACAAATAATGAAGAAAACTGTTCTTTTTTCATTTTCTTATTTTTGGTTTTATTTTGGAAAACAAATGAACGAATGATACACAGATTATTACCCCATGGAAGTAAAATACTCCCTCTTCAATGCCATAGTGTGGAACATCCTAAAGTAAATAATGCCATTTCCATCCACCTGAAAAGTTACATAGTGCAGCTTTAAATACATAACTGTAACCGGGACAGGGGCACTTCTGTATAAACCTATAAACCCGAGTCTGCAGAGCGGCGGCTTTATAAGGCTCTGCTGTTTAAAGTGCATATGACAAGTCACACTACACATTTCACCGACGCACACTTAAAGACGAGTTTTACTGCCAACACACTGAACATGTTTACATCACGCTGCCTTTTATCCTTCTGAAAATGCTAAATTCACACAAAACAGTCACTTTCACTTTCATTTTTGCCGCTCTGAGTCTCCCCTCGTTTTGTTTCAGAGCGATGTCACAACCAAATCTCAGACTTCCGGTCACTGTGCAATTCACACTGGGAAGGATTTTCCGAAAAAGTGAGCATCAAACCTCCATGTTTGTTTTCCCAGTGGGATGTGTCTATTGTCAAAGTCGATCTTTTCAAGTCTTTTGAACCATATCACTTTTGTTTCTGGTTCTGATATTGTCATATTTTAGTTTTGGGATTCGGACATCGTTAATTGTTGTGGTTGTTGGATCCAAACAGCGGAAAACGGCTCGAGAAATTTTGTCTGCGAACTCCATAAATGCAAAAGTGAATCAGATGTGTGTGACTCAAACCTCCGTTCAAACTGTTTCTCTTCCCAACGGAATTGAAAAATAGTGAAAAGTGAAGGCGATGGACAGGATTGATCCACAGGAAGAACCAAAAAGGAAACATTTGTCTGCCTAAATCATCCCGAGTTTGCAGAGAACATTTTGTATGTGGAGCGACAAAAAAACAAAATCCCGTTTGTTAAGCGAGAGGAGCAGAAGACAAACAGACTGAGCTGCACTTTCTTGTTCTTGTGGTTTTACAGCAACATCACGTCTCGGTCTCTTTGCAGTGGAAGGTGTTTCTTGGTGAACAGTTGGAGCCTTTCACTTTGGCGTTGACTTTTTAAATTCGTAACCGAGGTTGAGCGACGGATCGGGATTTTGCTTTGTTGTCGCTCCACATACAAAATGTTCGCTGCAAACTCGGGATGATTTATTCAGCCAAAGATTTAATTTTTGGTTCTTCCTGTGGATCAATCCTGCCCATCACCTTCACCTTTCACTATTTTTCAGTTCTGTTGTGAAGAGAAACAGTTTGAACAGAGGTTTGAGTCACACACATCTGATTCACTTTTGCATTTATGGAGTTCGCAAACAAATTTCTCGAGCCGTTTTCCGCTGTTAGGATCCAACAACCACAACACTTAACGATGTCCGAATCCCAAAACTAAAATATGATAATATCACAACCAGAAACAAAAGTGATATGGTTCAAAAGACTTAAAAAGATCGACTGTCAACAGAAACACATCCCACTGGGAAAACAAACATGGCCAGTTTGATGCTCACTTTTTCGGAGGATCCTTCCCAGTATGAATTGCGCGATGACCGGAAGTCCGAGATTCTTGATGCGTGTATTCCTGTAAGTGTCTTTTGGCCCCATGAAAAATATTTGTCTGTAGTACTGTAAAGTTATAACCTATTAACTCACTCTGTGGGGCATTTTAAGTTGTTTTATAGTTGGAAATTCCCTGTAAAATTTGATGCTTGTTTTAAGTCCAACCAATTCTATTGTTATTTTTATGCATATATACTGAGTTATTAAGCAGCTCTACATTGTTTTATGTAGGTCTACTTATTCTTTGTTCATTTAAATGTGAAAACATATTTGTAATATGCATTTTTTGTATGTTACAGTTTTACAATCAACTCTACAGTAAATGCCCGAAACAGTAAGAAGCTTCCTGAGTGTTTATTGGAGAAACTGTTCACTGTCTGTAAAGCGAGTTTCTAAACATTAGTGGAGACAGAATGTACAGAATCTCTAAATTCTAAATGTGACACAATGCAGACATTTGTAAACAAGGCTAAAAAGTCTGAAAAATCAAGAAAAAATAAAAAACTGATCCAAACCGCACATAAGTGGGTTGAGTCTGTGATCAGTACGTTCATGGTCAAGTTTAGGTGTTTCATTTTCAACAAAAAAGGTGAGAGTAACTTAAGCGCGAATGATAGTTCTGCATCGACTCAAAGCGCACTGCCGCCGTTTTTGATTTATGGGTCTACGTCAAGGTCTATGCACCATTAAGTAATTCAGATGCGTAATTTTCCATTTATTTGAGAAATAAGTGCACTTAGAGCGGCTTTTTCAATTGTTACGAACACAGACGCTCAGAGCATTGACCGTTTTGACTCACTACACCCTTTGGCAAAGTTTGGACCAATCAAAATGGATGGACCGCATGAGTTTGGCGGAAAACAAAGTTCCTACTGGACACCGATTTCCCGACGTCACCACACAGCATGCAAGTGACGTAGGATAATGCTGGAAATATGCTCAGAGAGCCACAACTGTCTAGACAGGTTGGCGCCACCTAGTGCCTCCGCTCAATTTAATTTCTTTCCCGTGACTAGATCAGGAATCAGAATAGACTAGACTGTTCACAAAAACCCGGGAAGTGCGAGTTCGGGCACCAGCCAATCAGCGAAGAGTCATATATTCCGTGTTGTCAACAGTTCCAGAGATTGAGGATTTAAAGCCGGAATAAAAAGAATGTTTGGTGAATTTCATTAAGAGGAAAGACGTTATTGTTCTTCTTCCTACAGGATTTGAGAAAAGCTTAATATACGAATTAGTCCAGTTAGCGGCGCAATACATATGTCACGAACAAATAGCAGCGATTGGTTGAACGATAAAAACTACCCGCCTACCGTCAAGCGAACGAAATATAAGGCTGCAAGGTCAGACGGTTTGTACGAAGTAAAACAAAGTAAAACCGGCTGATGAAACAGGCTAAAAAATAAGTTTCTATCTTTTATGGTTGGAAAATTATGCTCGGTTTCATAAAACATATTCTCAGGTATCGTACACAATATCGTCGGTCTGGATAGATTAAGTCTTGAAGAAGTGTGTTTCTAGATCCCAGGCAAGTCCCCAGAATGATCCATGTCTGTTGGATCTTTATTTGTACTCACACTATCTCGTTGTTGTCAAACTCCAGGACTCCGTGCGTGTCCTCGAAGTCCTCTCCTCCTCCTTTGGCCGTCCCTTCGATGGTTTTGAACGGTATGGCCACAGCTCCGCGCGCTCCGCAGGTCCTCAGCACCCTCACCTCCATCACGCCCACACTCTCGCTCACAGTCACCCCGGCGTCCTCGAACGTAAAAATACCCGCGTGATCGTCGTCGAAAATCGTAACCGTCGCCGTGCAGGGCAACCCCAGCCCCACCACGGCGCTCACGTCTTTGCTTTCCACGCGGACGTTGCTCAGATGCACCAAAAAGTGTTCGTCTTCTTCAAAAATGTCGTCGTCGATGATCTCGATGCGGATTTCCTTTTCGGTTTCGCCCGGTTCGAAAACAATCGTACCTTCCGTCGACGTGTAATCAGAACCGGCGTTTGCTGTACCGTCTTCCGTTTGGTAATTCACGTAAATTCTTTGCGTCAAATCGCCGCCCTGACGCACGATGTTCAACGCGACGCTGCCACAGTTTTCCAAACACTGATACGAACCCGGGTCGAAATAAACCTTCGTATAATTCGCCAACGCTTCAGAGGAGAATTCGAATTGGCTGGTGGCGCGTTTGGCTTGTTCCGCCGCGTGTTTCTTCAAAATATTCCCCGCTCCCGTCATGATCCGCGTCGCCTGGCATCGGTAAAACGCTCTGCTCTTCTGCTGTTGGTTTAGGACTTGGTAGTTGGCGAGCTCGGTCAGCTGTTCTAAATCTTTCTCCGGGTGTTTCTGTTTGAGCTCCTTCAAAATAGCCGCCACTTCTTTGCGCGATTCTTCCTCGTCCCACTCGAAGTACGTCTCCAGTTCCTCCCCGTTCGCTTTCAGCATTTCCACGTCGGATTTCAGAGGCACGTCGGGCTCGCCTTCCGTCTCGATGATCATGCCTTTTTGTTTACCGGCGCGATACCGCTTGTAGACGTATTTGTAAAAAAGCAAACGCCGATCGGCCACGTACGCAAAACCGACGCAAAGAGGAAAAAAGAACAACGTGAGCAACCCTTCCCAGATTTCAACAACGCCGGGACTGAAAACCGCCAAAATCAGATACAGCCACGTGTAGGCGAAAACGCTCCACGTGGCTGTGACGAAAAACACGCGCAAATGTTTCACTTTTCTGATTTCGCCATCGGGGATAACGGAAACGCAAAGACCTATAATGACGAACATGTTAAACGCGGCGCTTCCGACGATCGTGTTCGGACCGAGCTCTCCGGCGCTGAAATCGTGCCCGCAAACTTCCACCACCGATAAAAGAATTTCCGGAGCGGACGAACCCAGAGCCATCAGCGTCAAATTGGAAACCGTCTCGTTCCAAATCCGCACCGTCGTCGTGATTTTCTCGCCGTTGGGTTTCTTGATCGTAATCTGGCGTTCTTGCGACGTTATGACCTCGATCGACGCCATGAACCGATCCGCGATGATGGAAACGCCGAGAAACATGTACGCGAGCGCCAAAAAGTATATCGTAGCCCTGGCGATTCGCTCGGGTAAAACGGGGTCGACCGGTTTCCAGATGGGTAAAATGACACCTTCGATACAGTCCGTGTTCCCGCCGCATTTGGGTTTGGTGGCGTTGGAGGAGGTGCCGTTGGAGGGACGAGCGCCGCCTGCAGCCGAGAGCGGGAACTGAGACGAGACGAAGAGGAGAAGCAGCAGAGGGAGGAGAGGAGGAGCGGCGGACGCCATTTTGGAGTTACCAGAAACCTGCAATACACAAAGAAGAAGTCAAGTTTCAACAAAAGTGAGGATCGTATTTTTTGGACTATAAGATGTACTTTTTTCATGGTTTGGGTGTTTTGTGCGACTTATATATTAAAGTGTTGAGAGTGAAGTGTGGAGAGGTTCTAGTCTTGTGTGTGAGTATCTGCTGCTCCTGTTCCTCCTGTACCACTGTCACTTGGCTCTACTGCGCATGTCTCCTGCAGAAAGAGCCTCTGTTCCTGTCTGTATCATGTCAGTCGGTCGCACCGTTACTTCTGCACCACTGAACAATTTAAACAAACTTATAAAGACGACTGAGAAGACTGAACACAAATGCCCCCAAAAACAAAATCAGATTTTGCAGATTACAAAAAAGAGAAACTTGTGACACCGGGAGGAGGCACCATGAAACTTTCCTGAAGTCACTGGATGGATGGACAAAGTCTGGACTTCAGTGACACACAAATCCATCCTGTCGGGATTTAGAAAGACCCAATAATTCTAACTGGAACTGATGCTGAGTCTGACGACAGCGACACAGAAGAGGAAGCGTCGCTCTGTTTACCTCCGGAGGTCGAGGAGTTGTTCAGAAGTGACACCGAGGATGAAGAATTGAATGGATTTAGTGATTTGGAGTGAGACGGAGAGTTTGGTTATACTTATTCTGTACTATTCTTTATGTTATAGTTTTAATTGATTGATTTGTTTTTATTTTGAGTTTGTGTATACTACATACACATTGTAAACAACAGAAAAGCACATTTCTGGGAAGAAGAAAAACTTATATTAACCCACCCCATTCATGACATAGTTTCAAAAAGTTATGTGGTTGCTTCTGTACATTGATCATTGATCAATATTTACATATAGCAAAATAAATGACATATTGTGCATACAAAATATAATTTTAACTTTTTTTTTTTGATTTTGTACTGTACACATACATATACACATACATATAGACATATATATTACATATATACACCCATAAATTTTATTCGGACAGTAACACATAGAACATTAAAAAAAAAAAAAAACATAAATACATAGATATAACACAAAAAGTAACTATTTCTATTCTATAATAACAGGCAAAATAAATGTTACGCAGAATTTTCCTTGTGTCCGAAAAACTAGTGGGAGGAAGTAAATACTTATTTAACCCCACCCCTTTTTTCTACCGTCCCAAATTAACAAAGAACATATAGAGACTTCTCATTTCCTGTACATTATAAGCAATAATTGCACAGTACCTGCATTGCATTACAAATCTAACAAATAACAACAAATATATGTATATTATGTGCACAGATATAGTACACATCATATACACAGATAAACATAAACATAAATAAACACACACTGATATTAAATATATATATATATATATATATATATATATATATATATATATATATATATATATATATATAATATATATATACACTTTTTTTTTATCACCCAGCACTGTCACTCACCCTTATACCACAAAAGCAAAAATTCTTTAATACATTTTTTATTTTACTGGTACAGTTCAAAGTCATGCAGCAGAATTATGGACCAACTTGAATTTTAACGTTTTCTTCATTTGCAGCACGTTCTTTATTTGTTCCTCGTTTCAACTTGTGTTTGAGTTTGTGAATTTGCATAATTTCTGTACTTAAAGTTGTTTTCTCGAACAGAGACTGAACTGAACTGCAGTGCATTTTGGCCCCTGTCAGCAAACGTAAAAAAATGTCTAAAAAATGACTAATGCATCTATAGCTTGTGACTGTATGTGTGAGAGACTTGTACAAATCATCTCAGCTGCTGCAGTTCCATCTCAGTCAACTTTTTCTGGTCAGATTGTGTTAAAACAAAGCTCAGTTTAAGCCTAATTTGAGTAACAGAGCAGTGCGTTCAGTTAGCTTCACAGCCCCACAGAATGTCAATCAAATCAGCTGCAAAGTGTCAACAGTTGGATAATCTTATCTGGCGACTCCAGTGCCAAAAAACAGCAGCATTATTAAACTAAATGTTAAACTCTGTGTTTACTCTAGACAAAAACGTACAAAAGAAATAATTATCGAGTCGACTAACTGAAAAAATAATCACAAACGTCTTAAACTAACATAAAATAATCGTTGCAAACCGAATTATAAAGACTGTCCAAAGGCTTTAAAATTCCAAAATATAAAGACCAGGACCAAAGTCTTTATAATTTTAAATTAAATGTGTGTTTAAAAGACACAGAATGACAATATTAAAGGTCCTGTATTACACAAAATGGATTCTTGTGAGCTTCAAGTGAGTTGTGTTTTGTTTCATTCACACATGTTTGCGTAACACTTTATTATTAGTCTGTCACTGGAGTTGGGCGGTGATTTGGTATCACACTATCCCACAGTATCAAAAAGTATCAACAGTATCAGTTTCGTTACTGTCATAAAAAAATCTGCAGCACGTAAGGACCTAATATAATATTATCATTTACTGATATTAGGGGTGTCAAATTATCACGTTAATTGCGATTAATTAATTACAGTCATATTTAGCATGTTATGTTTTTAATCGCGTTAATCTCATTTTTAATCTATAACTTTACTGTTTCTGTACGTGAGTTGTTTTATTATAAAATCTGTTTTTAACAACACATCGCTCCCGCAAAGAATTGTAATTTTCATTCTCGTTCTCGCCGCATCTGCGATAAACCTGCACACGAATGATCTGAAAACATCGTGAGACAAACACAGAACAGACTCACCTTCAGCATCAACATCCCTCTGTCACAGAGAGAACACTCATATTCCACTGAGTCGTGTCCTTTAGTCCAACAGAAGCTGAACCGCATCAGCGACACAACAGCATTTTTTTTTTTTTTTTCTTCGCTTAGTTTATGCAAATGAGCCATGTGGTTTAAAGTTTTGTTTCTGTGAGACTTGTGCAAATCTGCATTAAACACATTCTAATGTCAAACGGGCTGATGTGGCTCTAGAGTGTTGATGTTTATATGTTGTAAAGTTGAGTTTATTTATGCAGATTAGTAACAGTAATAATGATTATACTTATATAAAAACGTTAACGATAGTATGAAAATAATGTAATAATGAATTCAAATGAAAATACCTCAAGTTGAAGGATTTTCTCAGCAATTTTTAGGTGAGATTTAAAAAGAGATTCATTAGATTAATTAATTACAGATCATGGTAACACTTTATAATAACTACACCTTATTTAGCCTTAATAAAACATGAACAAAGACTTAATTAATAATGATTCACGCTTATTAACTACTTAATTACTACCTGAATTAGCACTTAACTTGCACTTAATTGGCCTGTGCTGTAAATAGTTACTCAATACTTCTTAATTACTCATGAACTAACCATTTGCATGTTTATAAATGTATATTTAAGTACACATTTGAGCATTTATTAATGATTAATAAGCTATGAGAGAATGATTTACTAATAATGTAATACAATGATCATTCAGGCAGCTGTTATCTGTTAGTCAAGTCTTTCTGAGAGTTTTTCTAAAGTGAAGATGAAATTATGTTTATTAAGCATTTGTTAATGGTTGGTCAAATTCCAGAGAAACAATAATGCATTACTAGTAAATCATTCTCTCATGGCTTATTAATCATTAATAAATGCTCAAATTTGTACTTAAATATACATTTACAAATGCACACACAAATGTTAGTTCATGAGTAATTAAGTAAGAAATACTTATGAGTAACTATTTACAGCACAGGCCAATTAAGTGCAAGTTAAGTGCTAATTCAGGTAGTAATTAAGCAGTTAATAAGCGTGAATCATTATTAATTAAGCCTTTGTTCATGCTTTATTAAGGCTAAATAAGGTGTAGTTATTATAAAGTGTTACCCAGATCATAATTAATTACTCTCTCAATTTTTTTTATCGCTTAACAGCACTAACTGATACCTACATTTGTTTGCTCAGCACAAATGAATGTGCGGTTGTATTTTCAGTTTAATGCATCACGATTTAAAACTAACAGTGTCTATAATGTTTCTTTTAACTGTGCGGGGAGACGACGTTCGATTAGTTTCGTTCTGTTTTCACGTGACGCTCATCAGGGAGACCAAGACACGACGGCAAGTCCGAATACAAGCGAGTTGGTCCCAAAAAAAAACTACTAGTACTTCTACAGTTTGGCAGCTTTTTGGCTTCAGAGGCACATTTGTTTACGTTTTACAAAAGTGAAACTTAAAACCACATGACTCATTTGTATAAACTATAAAGCGCTGATAAAAACAGCTCACTCCTTGCGTGCTGGTTCAGCTTCTGTCGGATTAAAGGACACAGTGACTCAGTGGAATATGAGTGTTCTTTCTGTGACAGAGGGGTGTTCTGCTGATGGTGAGTCTGTTCTGTGTTTCTGCCGTGTTGCAGATGGTTTATGTGAAAGTTTTCAGAGATTATACGTCTGCAGGTCGTACACACAGACAGACCGTATAGTGGTGCGGCTTTGTAATTTACCAAAGTCGTACTAAAACATTTTGGTAAAACCCCAGTAAAAAAAGGAGGTTTAACGGTATCAAAATTTGGACACTGCCCAACTCTAGTGTCCACATCTCCAAAACTCAGACTGCAAACTGCTCCAAAACTTCAAATTTTACCTTTTGTTGAGTAGAAATCAGAATTTCCAGAGCTGAAATTATCCAAATGATTCTAGTGAAGGTGTTTAGAGTTAAAACCACAACGACATCACAATTTGGAACCGTTTGTTTTCAGTTTTTGAGAAGAACTCACTCTAAATATACAGGATTTGTGCGTTAAACGTGTGTGAATGAAACAAAACACAACTCCAGGTCTGTTTGTGACGAGGAAACGACATTAGAACATCAGAAAATAGTGCAATACGAGCCCTTTAAACAAACTGACATCACTAAATAAATGAATTTTAGTAAAGCGCCAAGTTTCCATATTTTCAAATCTCGTTAA